AAGTGTGTCTGTTGCTTCGCCCGCTCATTTTTGACGAAACGGTTCTTCGCACGAGAGATGAACTATTAGCTCAGTACGTTAGTGACCACGACTCGCAACCGAACGACCCTGGATCGGATACCACGATGATCACTTTCCTCACATGTCCCCATTAGGAGAAAGTGGTCGGCCACGTCGACGACGCCAGCCAACCTTCGGCAACTTTTTGTTTTTTAGTCACCCAATTTACAAAATAATTTCAATAAGAGCCCGCTGTATTCTTGACAGGAAGCTCAGCGAGCTCCGCCCCTTCGCACCGGAGACCTAGTGCAACGCTATACGAGATGAGCCCGAGATCTCACGTATGTCGATACCTGTCACAGCATACCACTCGTTGTATCGCAATTGATGGTATACGCTTTGTGATCGACAGTGGTAAAGTTGAAGAGCTGAGTGTGGATGCGGGAAGCAGTACTAGGCGATTGGCAGAGCAATGGATAACACTGGCTAGTGCTGATCAACGGAAGGGCAGATCTGGCCGCACGGGGCCTGGACAATATTACAGGATGTGTGTTCAAGACTGTATCACTCTTCGCGACTGCATTACTCCATGCAGGTATTCGGTAAAGCTTAGTCAGTACATGCTGGCTTACACTCGCCCGGAAGGGTGTGGGAGAAGGATACCACCAGATTTGTTGCTGCTGTCATCACGTTATTCAGATTACTCGGATCTTCGACCCCTTGGTCCATAGTCTGCTGCAATTGTTGGCTATAGATGTTGATGAATCGGGAGAAGAATTTAAGTTTCCAAGTTGGAAACTTAAATTCCTCTGGAATTTAAGGAATACAAGGAATTTCCGTTGGAAATTCCAACGGGTATCCACTTCATCTTTCATATCATTCTCTATAGCTTTTATCAAACATTCAGGAGGACCCTATGAGATTAGCGCACAATTACCTGTGTTTTGCTAGAGCAACTACTAAGGGCAGTAACTCAACAGCATTACATCTGACATCGACTGGCAGAGTATGCGTCCCCCTGCTCATATTTTCATATTAACCATATGAGGTACTCTTCCGGCTACCCGCCTGGCTCGCAGTAGCCATCTGCCTCAAGTTTGCATCATTTTGCGCCCCACATGCCACCATCAAAGGCCGACCCTATTCAACAGCTTCAGCAGCAAGTCAAGAAGCTAATGAAAGAAGTCGCACTGCAGCAGAAAGCCGTAGTTGGAGAATCTGAATCCGGAAGGCCAAAGGATGTGGGAATGTGTATCACATTATTAGAGTGATCAAAAGAGTCGAATCTGGAGTTATGGACCGCCGTAACAAAGTTAAAGCACATGCTGTCCAAATCGTACAGTTGGAACAGAGGATAAGTGAGCAGCTAAATGGTTTCGGGGGCATGATGAAGGATAAGCACTCTATCATCACCCGCAATAAAACAGAGCCCCCAGAGAGAAAACCCTCATCCAGCTA